GTCATGTTTTTAGCACCTCTGTGTTCCCCTGTTTTTCTCTGGGGAACTTTAAAAAAAAAATGAAATTAACTTTTTAATAAAAAGCTAATTCCCTCACGCTAAATTGCTGAATCTAATTGCAGTATTAAAGGGTACATGCTAACCAAACCACAAAAGCCAGAGGACTTGTGCTCCAACTTTCTGTCCTGGTCTCGCAGCAGGTGTTTTGACTTGAGAGCTGATTAGAAACACCTGCTGGGACATCACTGATTACACAGGAGTGCATCATGCCCTTTGCAGCTTAAAAACAGCAACAGCAGCTTTGTTATTCAGCCTGCCTGTTTCCTGGTATGATGAGCATGAACTAGATTTTCATAAACAACATATGATGTGATTTCAGCACCTACACTGCAGGCATATATTATGATGCATGTTTATTTAGGGGTATTTTAGGCATGCTGCTAATCCACCACACCTCTGATTAGTGCCAGTTTTGCAATATGCTTAAAGGCCGTTTTCACAGAAGACTCCGACATGCACCAGCAGGAAAAGCACAGGTGTGAACAACAAAATTAACCACTGCTGTGCTACATTCATGCCCACCAAATAATACTTTTAAAGTATAAAGATGAAAGTCTTTAATCTGAGGATGTCTAAATCACAGGTTTTCTTCTGTGTATTTGCAGGGCCACAGTTTGGTTTACTAGAGAACAACATGATCCCTTATTAAATCCAATTTCTCATGGTGCTTGGGCGCGTAACAACTCAGGGAGGAAGAGACAACTTTTGATAGATGTCCTGCTTTGTAGAAAAATGGTACCATAGCGGAGATTGAAAAAATGCCAATGGGTTTCCATTTTGCAAAGCTTTACGACGTATTTATTCATGTTCTGGATTAAGTGGATGAATTCGGGCTGGATAAGTCTGGATAAGTTGAGCATTTCTGGTACTCTTTTACAAAACCTCTGTTTCAGATTCTAAGAGATGCATATCTCATTTGAATGATCCCCCATTAAAGGCAATAAAGTTTTTATTATACCTTTGCAGTTGACGTTAGACTTTAAGAGCAGGCTCTGCTCATGTACAGACCTGCTAAAAGATACTTAGTATCATATCATGACAGGCAGCACTGTTGGATAAAACAGTGGCACTAAAAATGACTCACAGTTTGGAAGAAAAAAGGACAGTCTGCAACTACTCTGCAAGCAACCCCACAGTGCACTGCTTTGTGTTTTATGGAGCTTTACATTGGGATTATGTTTATTATATTCACAAACAGAGGCCACACCAGTGCCCCCCTCCCCTTATGGTATATACAACATAAAAGGTCCCATTTTTTCTGAAACCTTGAGGTACAAGTGTTATGTGTCCTCTGATGTTTCCTGTGGAATCCAGTTTTCAACAATTATAAGTCGATGCATGTACATATATTTATTTTTCTGTGTAATTTAGCTTGTACATTGTAGTTTGATGAACAATTTCCATATAACTGGAGTTCTAAAAGTGAAAGAGACTAAGAGAGCAAAAAAAAAATCTGGCTATTATCAATCGTCTCAGTCCTCAGTTCAGGCTTTAAGGATTATCTGTGTACACACTTTTTTCTTTTTTTTTTTACCTGCATTCCTGATGTGAATTCCTGTCTTGATTCCCACTGCAGTTCAAATTTCCTTCAAGTTATTAATAAAGTTAAGGTCAAAGTTGAAGTAGTGTGGTACATAACTTGTTAAGCTGACGGCTCGGTGATATAACTCTGTGCTGAATGTCAGCCTCTCTATTGTGGAGGTTTAATTAATTCCAAAACTTTAACATCCCGCTTGATTAATAAAAGGAGCACTAAAGAGATTAAAACTGTTACTGCCTCAATTTGCTGGTATTTTAATAACATACCTGATAAGGTCTTCAATTAAAATTATGGAAATTTAAAATATAACATGTAAATTCAACACAAGCTTGAGAGCTGTTTTGTTTTCTAATTAGATGCAACTATAAAATTCAACATTAGTCTCAGCAGCTGCATTAAATTATTTGATTTGGAACAATAATCACAATATTTTATCATTATTATACCAAAGCTAGACTTGTGTTTACCACTCAGTCCATTAAAGTTGACGAGACCTCTGACTGTGTTGAAATCTCCTGAATTTCTTCACATTTGTCAGGAGAGTTTCTGCTGCAAACTTATAAAGTAAACTTCAGAGTCTTCTTTAGCTCAAATTATTACTATTTGAATTTTCTTTTTCTTTTCATGTATCTAAGGTTTTTGTTCAGGATAAAGAAAAGTGTGGGATGGGAACTGTGAAGTCTGGGGCTTTTACTTCATATAAAAAAGAGGAAAAAAGTGTCTTGAGTCACACTCACATCTATCAGTATATGTATAAAGAACACCGATTTGAAAAAAAATACAATTTTCTTTTCTGCATGTCTTTCTCTTTTGGTGTGGATTTTTTCTTGCAGTGGAGCATAAATACACTTTTCACCAAGGCCATACACAGTATGTGAATACAGCACTGATGACGCACACAGAGCCATTCATCATTCATCACCAAGGAGGTGAAACGAGAGGGATAACATACATATTTTTGCACGTGAGGTACATTTGTATGCTACATTTCCATAACAATCCCATTGAAACGGGAATAAGTGAACCTCTATTCATACAACTGATTAACAAAGATGCCGAGAAGGAAACAGAAAAGGAGAGAAGGAGGAGAAAAGATAACACCTCAGAGGTGAAAAACAGCTAAATAGCCACACATTTTTTTACTCCTAACACATCCTTAGTCCACAATCATCACATTCAGTAGCTTGGTCAAAGGCTCTGTGATTAGAGAACACAACTTCATAAACTCTCAAATATCGTTTTCAGCTCAAATCTGTATTATTATTAGTGAAACAGAAGAAGTTGTATTTTAAGACAAAACATGTAAATTATGACTTGGGGAGAACAAATCTGTTGGTAGAAAAAGGAAAAAGTAACTTGTCTCTTGAAATAAGTTATCTCCCTAAAAATAAGAAAATGTCTTCTTAATTCTTAGAGAATTTAACTTCTTGTTTCATTCATGGATTTTATTTTACTCTTGTCAAGCAGTTAAGGTTCGACTTCTTTGGTGTGTATATCTTGAATTAAGATATCATTCTTGACTTGAAGGAATGTTAAATTAAGCCTTTTTACAACCTTTGAGTATGTCTTAAGAGTAAAGCTAGAAATAACAACGTTGAGAAAGTAAAAACAAAGATAATTGACTTAAAAATTGTATGTTTACCTTTTAAAGTATGTTCTAAGTTAGTTCTACGTTTAGCTGGTTGGAATCATAGACTGTATATACTATGGACATCTTGGCTCCGTCTTCTGTCATTATATGAATTTGAAGCTGAATTGCTCTGGGTATTTCTGGGATTTTCTCCACTTCCTGAAACCAACATTGCGCAGTAGCGCTGTACGCATCTCGGCAGGAGAGTTGCCGAGAGTCGCTGTGATGATGCTCAGCTCAAACAGCCTCAATCCCCAAGGTATAGTACGCAATCTTCGTACGCCAATAGGCTGTATCAAGTGTCAATCACAGAAAACATGAACCCCTTAATAACTTTTAAAACTGGAGCTGCACAGAAAAAAGAGGACTTGAGCACAAACCAGTCTTACAATAACTGCTTGTCAACATCGCAACCAGGGGGGAGAAAAATTTATATCATGTGTGATAAATTTCTAAAGTTTGTCCACAGCTCCATAAGAATTGCTGGAGGAGGCGGGATTTATGACCTATACTGCAGCCCGTCACCAGAGGGTGCTGTTCTCGCAGTGGCTTCACCCAGCAAGGAGGCAGATGGAGTCCATTCTATATACAGTCTATGGTTGGAATCTTGTAACCCAAATGGGTTTTCATCCCAAACATCTTGTTTCTCCATCTTGGATTATTTTAGTTCTCCTTCAATATATTGCCCTTTCAATCCTGACTTCATGTGAGGTTATCAGGAAAAAGTTCAGATAAAGTCAGGTTTACAACAGTCTTAATTTTGCTGTGAAGATGTTGACATGACTAAATAGAGAATTGAATGTAAACAGCAAGAAAAGTGAGAAAGAAGATTGTGGCGATATCTTTGATCATAAACGCCCTGATGGATTACAATGAGAGCAAAAAGTCTGCTCTGTTTGTTTCTTTTTTTAAACCAATCATCTATCAACAAATGTACCTCTATTCATCATTTTCATTGTCATTGGATGTCCACCTGAGGACAGATAATTTAGAACAAGACTGAGAAAAATCTGACGGATTATAAGGGACACTTGGAATCAAAGTCCCCCACAGTGTTTGTCCAGGTGAATAATGATGCATGATGGCTGGCTGGATGACATGAACACACAATAACTCTCTAACTTTAATGTTGACAAAACTCAGAGGGCTTTGCAGGACAAGATCTCTATTTTAAATTGCAATATAATGATTTTATGAAATCCAAGGCACCTTACAGTGCATATCTATAACTTTAAGTTACAAAGGCACGTTTTTTTTTAAGCCAAGATGCCAAAAAATGACCCAAGGTACTTTTTCTCCTTGCTGAAACGTTTACCTCATTTTGACTAAAAAACAGACTTAAATTAGTCCTAAATACAAACCGAGTTCCTTGGAATAAATCTTGGTTGAAACAACTATGAGCACATGATATTTAAAGATAATATCTTAAAATAGTTCATTATCAATATCAAGCGATATGAAAAAAGTGGCTCATTTATATGTGCTTGCAATAACAGCCTAAATGACTGATGTATTTTGAATGGATGTTAACAGTCTGCAGACACATAACTGAGATTTTTATTTAAAAAAGAATAAATTCAAACTAAAATCAAGTACTTGACTAATTTTTTGTCTGTTTCCAAACAACGCTGCTTCAGAGATTCCTACAGTGTTGCATTTTGGATTGTGGTGACGCTAACCAAGCTGGTATTTTTGAGAAGCTATTACTGAAAACATGGACACAAAAATAAAATGACTGTGCGTTGATACAGGCTACTGTTCAGAGTCAAATTGGACCTCTTTAAAACCTGAACATTCACATCAAAGTGCGTCAGATGGCTGGGTGAAACACGCACATCCCCCCATACATCTCCCCTCGTCCCTCCTCTCATGTTCTCATCTTTTCTCGTCTTTACCTGCTAACACTGACTCCATTAGACAAAAGGTTGCACACACACATATGCACACACACACACACACTGAAACACACATGCTGCTTTCAAAAAGAGAGTGACGGGGATAGTGTGCGTGTCCCTACCTGTCAATCAAGCCTCCATTAGTGGCTACTTGGCTGGGTGGCTCAGGGTCGACTGCTGTAGATGTAGATGGGAGATGACAGCACTGTTTCCTCTTCAATAAAAACATTTTCCATCCCTGTTTGTGTGTGTGTGTGTGTGTGTGTGTGTGTGTGTGTGTGTGTGTGTGTGTGTGTGTGTGTGTGTGTGTGTGTGTGTGTGTGTGTAATACTGGCCACAGCCACACTCACATGCACAAAATAACACACAGGTGCCCCTGAACACACCTGTAACAGCGTTCAATCCACATGAGGAGAGCGACTGTGAGGCTGTGAACTCATTTTCTCTTCACTTTTGCTTCATACGAGTGAGTGTGTGTGGACACATTGCGTTTCCCCAAGCGGTGGCAAATGCCTGCAGGATTTCAATTTTATGTAAAATTCTAATCTCATTCTGTGGACTTGAAGCATTTTAAGTGTTTGTGAGAGCGTGTGTGTCCCTTGTGCCCCCCCTGGAGGCAGGTCGTCATGAATCATGTCAGAGCAAATCTGCTGTTGAAAGGAGCCCTGCGCACTGAAAGGAAGCAACACACACACACACACACACACACACACACACACACACACACACACACACACACACACACACACACACACACACACAGGCCAGTGGCTGGTTTGTAGCCAGCAGTCGTGAATCACAGCGGTCATCACTTGGTGTTTCATATGCGGAGCATGACAGACACAGATTAGTGGAGCTCTGCTTTGGCTGGCATCTGCTCTGCTCTCCTCTGCACCTCCTTTTGCTCCCCTCTCTCTGTAACTTCTGTTTTTATTTACACTTCTTCCTTTCTTCTCCTGCCTTTCCTCCCAATGCTCCAATATTTTTTATTCATGATTTTACTCCTACATATCTTTCATCTCTTCGTCTTTTTGTCTTCACCTTATTTTTGGATATTGATTCTCTTTTCTCCACCTGTGTCGCCAGTTTACTATCTCTTTCGTGAACCCCCTTTAAGGCTCATTTTTTCCTCACAGCTGTATACTCTTGGGTCAAAAATCATTTGCACATATGCTGGTATTGATAGGTCTCTATTTCAAAACATTATATTGATTCTGTGCTAGAAAATAGGGATTAGGTACCAGATGTGTTTGGGCTGCCAGATTAGCTCGGGGTCCTGACATCACACAATATGATTGGCTGGAAGTTGGTTTGGGTGACATGGAAGATTGTGGTTGGTCTGGACATTACGAAAGTGGTTTTTGCCAGATTAGGTTTCATGGGATTGTAGTTCTTGGGAGAAAATATGGACAATTTTTACGACAGCCAGGTTACCACCTCTTTTAGGTTGCCAAAGGAAATGTGGAATAATAGCAAAACTATCTATTGATAAATGGAGATCCTATGTACATTTTTTTTCTTTTTCCTTTAGAAAGTGAACATATACAATCAAAGCCATCTAAAAATTACAGTACAGTAAGTTGTAATTCTCTGTATTATATGGAGAGAAAATTTCGAGGTCAATTGAATGAACAAACAGAAATAAAGAAAACCACAAGGGGCTTTAAACCGAGCACATTTGACTTATTAAATGGAGCGCAGTGTAGTTTGTCTGAGTGGACTTGCCACAGTGTGACGTCTTTAACAGGCGCTTAGCCCCAAGCTGATCTGGCAGCCCAAACACATCTGGTACCTACAACTTTATGACTGTAATTTTATTGTAGTAGTCATATATGCTTGTTAACACATGCCACTGAACTGTGAAAAGAGGAAGGAGAAGAAGCTGCTAGTGAGCTAGGTGTAGCAGCCCTCTGTGAGATGACTTGGCACTTTTACAAACTGATGTTTGAAGACTGATTTTGAATCCTTAATCAAAGTTAGAGCTTGTGACTCTTCAAGTAATTGATCAGCCTAATGTTTATTCGTTCTAACCGTTCTTCACAACACACCAGTCTTCATTTCTGAATGTTTCAAAGTGGAGCTTGGTTATGACTGTTAATGTTTAAATTGTTAACAAAGCTGTAACGTTTCTGCAAAATACATTACAGGCAGAAGAAAAGGTGTGGACTCCACTCTTTATCAAACTCTCTCTCTCATCTTAAACCCTACATTCAAAGCAAACCATGATGCACTATTAAGAAACTAAACCTTGTAAAGTGTTGGTGTTATTAAAAAAGGTTTTGAAGCAGCTAAATTAGGCGGCATCTTTGGCACCCTGACTGCCTCTGGTCACTGTAAGCCTAAACCAGTTGGAGACAATGTAGGTAGGCCATGACTCCATCACATTTTTAATGAGTCCTTTCAAAGTAAAAGCCCCCTTCTGCTTTATACACTAATAGGTTTCAACTGTTGCTGTCATGCTATAGGACATTCCTGATCTCGGTGACCCTTAATGGCTGGTCCTGGTCACGCCTACAGCATACCCATGGTTTTATTTCCCCCTATTCTCACCTGTAAATCTTATCCTAGGCACTTTGGCAGTTTGATGGTTAAGGTCTAAACTTTTTGTTTAATTTGCATCTCCTTCACCATTTCCCATGTTTTAATTCTGCTTCCTTCTCAGCTTTTGTCGCCTATTTTGTGTGGTTTGCTTTTATCTGGTCCCTCTGCTAACCTTCACCCTGCCTTGTTTGTCCCTTTCACTGCATCAGGTTTTTCAATTTTATTATATTTCTTTCCTCTTAATATCACTGCTACATCTTCACTTCTACATCCTCCCACCACTTCTCCACTAAAGTCTCCTCTTTTTTCCCTTATTCTTCTATATTTCCTTCCCCAAATTCTAAATTACAAATCTGTCATTGCTCTATCTTACATTTTCTCATGCTGCTTACCCTCTCTGCCTCAAAACCCCTCTTCTGTTCTCCTTCCCCTCTCCTTTCTTCACCTCCTTGCCTCCTTTTGCCTCCAAACCTAGCATAGCCTTTTGGGGAATCCATTGATAGGTGGTCTTTACACAAGTACAAATTTGTAAGACACTGGTAAAATAAACTATCGATCTGGTGATATTGACACACAGAGACGCGTATTCGTTCATGACTCTGCATCTTTTTTGAAACGGGTCCGCAAGTGGATATCCGTGTATTTTGTCTTCATGCCGTAGTTGGTATAAATAGATAAGTCCGGAAAAGACAGTGACCTCATAGCACCCCTCCTCCTCCCTGTCCCCCAACCCACGTTGTCACACACAGGCCCTCATTTATCAATCTTGCGCAGATCTGAGCGCAGGATTCATCCTACGATAGGACACGTGAGACTTATGAAAGGGTTCATATCTGACCAATCCCAGCGTACGTATGATTGGGTCTTGATAAATGCAGCGGCTGAAATCGATCATCATAAATATGTTACACCCTTAAATATTCGTGGTTCAGAAGCCTCGCCCACTGCGGTCAAACATGAAAGAGGAGAAATATTAGAAAGATTTGAAACTTTTCCGAGCTGAAAGTGGATATCCTCACATCTGTGGTGGAAACTAACAAGGATTTGCTCTTTGCAAGCATCAAAACTGGTATAAAAGCAGTCCAGAAAACTCCTGTCTGGAGCAGGATTATGGTGGCGCTGAACAGCGCTGCAGCGGAATAGCAGACAGTGGCTGCAGTTTGAATAATTCATTAGTTAAGTTGCTCACGATGATAAATTAATATCTCATACATGTCTCATATTTGTTTATTGCCATGACATAGGGTACGTTGCTCCTATTATTGAAAGTATTTAGTTTTAATTTGTTGTGTCTTTGTAATGTAGAGCAGACTGAAGAGTCTGACAGAGGCTGAACAAAAATAATTATTAACCTCACCAAACGGTGTGTTGCTGCCCCTGAGGCACATTTTTATGGATTTCTATTGGATTTTATCACTGATTAAATAGCAAGAGCACTTTCTCAACTTATATTTCACATGTCAGAATCCATGGATAAGGTCCTGTCTCCTCTGTGCAGCACCTTTGTGGAGTCTCTCCTCGTTATTGTTCTCCGGGCATCAGGTCCTCATGTTGCACCGGCACAGCCAACGGCACTCCATTTGCCAGTGCAACATTGTGCAAAACTGTACTGACCCAAATGATGTCCCACACCCTTTCAGGAGTGTACAACAACGTCCCCGCTGCTGGGCTAAGATAGAGACACCTGCCTTTTAGGAGTAAAACGCAGCGCTCCACAGTGGCGCATGTGCATGTGTGCGTAATGTTGAAACGGCGCTCCTGCTCTGTGGCAGTGTTTCTGGGCAGAGTTATCAAATAGGCCTATTCACTAAGGACATAACAAAATAATTTATTTTATTTTATTCTATTTACGTCTTAATCTTTAATGAAATCTGGCTGATTGTGCTTAATAACCGGTTTGAGGTTTGTTTATCAATTATTTTGAGACAGACATTTGCTGCACCACAGATCCACACTGACTCAAACTTGCGTACACGATGTCAGACCTGTCGTGAGATTTGGTCGTCCTCGTGTGAGGACGGCCATAGTCTTACAACATACTGTAGCTGCTGTATGAAGCATCTGAAACACAATGGAAAAATAAGCTCAGTTGTAGTTAAAAGTCTAATCAGCATGGATTAAAGATTCCATTTGTTGGAAATAAAATACAGTTCAAATATTATTATTAATAATTACCATAAATGTTTAATTCTGCATATTTTCTTCATTGGATTTGACCTTGTGTGATTAATAATCTGCCTCTTGCCTCCGGGCTCCTCTCAGTTATCGAGTGTGTTATATTAGTCAGGATTATCAACGATAAAATAGATTAAATTTTTATTTACCAGCTTTGCATAAATGCTTGATTTTTTTTTTCTTGGGGTTGAATTCCCTCTTTTTCTCTTTCATATTTTCTCTTCTATCTCTCTCTTTGTCCAGGTTTCATCTGCATACTTTCAGTGAGTGTTTCAGGCGTGCATTAAATATCCATACCTCAATGAAAGAAACAGTGAGCATTGCTGTTGGATGAGGCACGAGGTTTGGGTGTGTGTGTGTGTGTATGTGTGTATGTGTGTGTATGTATGTGTGTGTGTGTAAACTGAGGGCAAGGCTGCCATCTATCGTCTTGGTGTGATCTCACCATGTGTGCATGCATTAATGTGGAACCAAACAGAGCTGCATTTGTTTGAGCTTTTCTATGATAATGTATGTGCAGAATAACCATTAACGGGAATCTGATAACAAATAGAGTTAAAGAAGCTAAATATAAGAAAGAAGAAGATATTTTGGCAACCAGCGAATCCACCTGAAAGCAGCAAATAATCTGGCTTCAGAGATCCATAAACTAATTTAACGTCATATCAACCAATAAGACTAATAGCTATTCAAAAGATGATCACTAAATGCCCCTTTTGCCCCATGCCCCATTTTTCTTTCTTTGCAGATCCATCCATGTACCAACTTATCCATTTAACTTTCTAATAAGTTCACAATAACTTATTTTACATCTTTATTCAACTATTTGAGACCATTTGTTTTTACAAAATGTTGTTTGTTTTATGCATGTCGCTCTAACTTAAATGCATACCTGTATTAATGATGTTTAGTTGATTATCAAATGGAAGAAAATTTCACTCGACTTTTCTGCATCTTCAGCAGTCAGCTCTGCCCTGTGGTCAGTCAGTTTTTAAGCCGAGTAGGTTATATGCAGGTAAAGCCAGAAAAACATAAAGTTCACAAAAACAGATTATAAGATGTTTCCAATTCTGTGTGAGGCAAAAACAGTAAAAAATGGTAAAAGTTATCTCACATGTCTCAATGATCTCACATAACCAAACTGCATGATGGTGGTAAGGGGTGGTAAAGTTTTAAGAAAGCCACCGTTCCAGTCATTGAGGCTGCATTAGGCATTATAAATACTGCTTGAAAGCTTTTTGGATGTTTATTTAGCCGATACATTTCCCTATATTGTCTGAGAACATGTTTTTGCAGAAAGAGAAAACTAAAATTCATCAAAAGACTCAGAGAGAGACTCAGTAGCATGCAGTGAGGAATATTTACCATTTTCTAAAAGGGTTAACTCTTTTTCTGTTGTGTGAGGAGTAGGTAATAATTCATGCAATGCTGCCTGCAAAACAGCAGATGCACCTTTTAAAAAGAGTGCAGTGTTACTTGTCAGATATGAATCCCAAATGCATTTTATCGTTCTCATGTTTTATTACATTCTTTTTGTAAAATTAAGAGATGTTAAAGTCTTCTTCTTTTTATAGATTTCCAGCAGGCTCTGCGGTTTAGATTTTGATGCTGTCCCCAGAGATGAGCTGGATGTCGTTCTGCGCTTTAGTGTTTCAAATCAGAGCCGTCAGTAAATTTGACTAAATTACAGATCTATCCAGACTCTGACTTTGGAGTAAATTAAAAATCACCAGAGATCCCTAGGTAAGTCTGTGGAAACACTGATATCTGTATACAGAGTGGCAGTCTGACACTGACACTTAGAACTAGACGCTTACTCTTGATGTTTCCACATTGTTAAAACATTTTCTGCTGAAAACTTTTGCAAAGGCAAATCCCCTTTGTTTGCAACTTTAAAAAAGCTTTAGCTTCAGAGCGTATAAATAATAAATAATACTTGAACATTGATTTCTTACCCGTCTTTCTCCGGGCTGGATTTTGACAGCACTGGATCCAATGAGTGAATGAAGTAATGATGCAGCTAAATATACATGATTGTGTTGCATACTTAATATTAGTTTCATGAACAATGGCTTAAAGTTGCATTTTGCCTGCAGGCCAATCTCCTATGCACAAACACAGAGAAGCAAAACTTAATTGCTCAGACTTCTTTTAAGCTCTGCAGTGAAGTTGTTTGCCTACAGATCTGATATGAGCTGCAACATCTAAGCTCAAAGAGCAATATGATGTTTGGTAACTCTGAGCCTCTGAGTCAAAAACCAATATATTTCTTTACTCCTGACTCAATAAAGTTCTCCAGGAGAAAATTGCATTCCTTTAAACGTGTGTTGGAGCCAGAAATTATCTGCTTCGTTTTGCTCCAATGTTGCTGGATTATGTTTTGGGGCTTAAGGTTCGAGATGTTGCAGCAAATTAATGGATGAGTTCCCTCGAAAAAATGTATGTTTGCAGTTTTAGAGTGAAAAAACAACCTGCGTAGGGAGAGTTTTTTTCTCTTGATATACAGGCTTCTTACCATCCACCAGCTACTGTAACTGTACTTTGAATAACTACAGGTTTTGATCAGCGCTTTAAGAGGAAAAAACAAGGTAAAAGTTGACTTTACTTTCATCACACAACAGAGAAAGATTTGGAAAGGAGAGGAGTGTAGCTGTAAACATTAGACAAATAAACGTGGAAATAATTTTCAAAGAGGAAATCACATTAATTTACAGCAAATGAATCCAGATCTGTGTCATCATCCAGCTCTGCTTCACTTCCTGTTCTCTTTGAGCTCTTTTCGATCCAGATTTCTGTGGCTCATCCAACACCGTGGAGACTTGTAAATTAGCACAAGTTTTATGTTTCTCTGCATTAAAAACAAACAAGTAAATGTTCCAAAACGACTGTAAAAGGGCGAGGGCATCACAAAGTGAACCATAGAGCGTAACGCATCCATTAGCTGAAGGCAAACTGAGGAAAACAGCAAATCAGACACAGAAACAACATTACAGCATCCAGTTTTACAAATAAAACGTTTAATGTTTTCAGCTGGGAGGATTTAATGTATCTACACCATGGTGAGGGGAGATGGGAATCAACAGGTCAAAGGCTCGTCCTGTCCCAAATAAAAGCAGGGCGAGTTTACTGATAGAAACAAGTAGAGTGTTACGGGATACTTAAGGCTGAATTATGAAACTGAAAGAGAAACTACGAAATGGAGAGTACTGGAAACGAAATGTTATGAATATAACTTCTGTTCCCTGAAGGAGAGGAACGAGGTACAACACATATAGTATGGGATATCACGCCCCTGCGTGACCTGACTGAAGACACCTTTATTCACGCCTTTAAGGCAGATGATCTGTGGTGACGTCTGGGAGGCTCCGCCTGCACATATATACGTGTAACACCACAGTCATCCTTCAGTTCGATAGCCGCTCTTCACCGAGCTCTGCCGCGCAGCGGGGCAACCCAGTGTTGTACCTCGTTCCTCTCCTTCAGGGAACAGAAGTTATATTCATAACATTTCGTTCCCTTTCAGTCGATTCACTCGGTACAACACATATAGTATGGGACATATATACACGCCCCGCAGAGCAGCCACCGAACCGAAGTCAAACCTCCAAAACTTTTAGTGCATTGTAGACCCAGCAGAAAGGACAGCGTGAGCCACCGAAGGTGCTGTCACATCCAAACGGTAAAACCGAACAAAAGTGTGCGGTGATGACCAACTGGCTGCAGTGCAGATATCACTCACAGAAACCCCTTTAAACAAGGCCCAAGAGGCCGCCATTCCCCTGGTTGAATGTGCCCTCACACCTTGGGGCAACGGGAGACCCCTGCTGCCGTATGCTAAGGAGATAGCCTCCACAATCCAGTGGGAAAGCCGCTGCTTAGACAGCGCCTTGCCCTTGGCTGGATTAGCAAAACAGACAAACAACTGGTCACATAAACGCACACTCTGAGTGCGGTCTATGTAAGTGCGTAGTGCACGCACAGGGCACAAGGAATGCAACCTCCTCTGCTCCTCAGATGCAAATGGAGGGGGGCAGAAGCTCAGCAGTTCAAAACTCATAGAGTTATAGGCTGTGGGGATAATCTTAGGTAAATACGCCGCGTTCGGACGCAATGTAGCCTTAGATCCATCCGGAGTGAACTGGGTACAAGAGGGATGCACAGACAAAGCATGAAGGTCGCCCACTCGCTTTGCAGACGTCAAAGCAAGTAGCAGTGCAGTCTTGTATGAAAGAAATTTCATGTCTGCTGACTCAATAGGCTCAAATGGGGGTCCACCAAGAGCCTCAAGCACCAACCCTAAATCCCATGAGGGAACACTGGGTTTAAGAACAGGTCTTAGCCTGCGGACTCCCTTTAGGAAGCGCATAGCAAGAGGGTGAGCGCCTGGCGTCACACCATCAAAGCCAACATGGCATGCAGATATAGCCGCCAAATAGACCTTAATTGTTGAGAAAGAGAGACCCTTATCCAGCAGGTCCTGAAGGAATGTTAAAACATCCACAATAGAACTCTGAAATGGGAGTACATTTCGGTCCTGACACCACTGCTCAAACGCCCGCCATTTATAGGCATATAGGCCCCTAGTAGATGATGCCCTTGCACTCTGGATTGTTGCCACCACATTTGGGGGCAGACCCTGAGCCATTAAGTTGGACCTTTCAACAGGTAAGCATGTAGTTTCCACAGTTCTGGGCGCGGGTGAATCACCTCTCCTCCCGCCTGGGAGAGGAGGTCCCTGCAAAAAGGGAGCTGCCAGGGCCTCGCTACCAGCAGACTGATTATCTCTGCGTACCACGACTTCGCCGGCCAGCGAGGAGCCACCAGGATCAGGGAGAGCCCCTGCTGGCGCAACCTCTCCAGAATGGGCAGAATCATTTCCACTGGGGGAAAAGCATATAGCAGCGTGTTGGGCCATGGGTGAGCTAGCGCATCCATCCCCAGGGGAGCATTGCAGTCTGTTATGGAAAAGAACAGGGGGCAATGAGTATTTGCTCTGGAGGCAAAAAGATCTACTTCTGCCTTGCCGAAGCGGTCCCATATCTGAGCCACCACTAGTGGGTGCAATCTCCACTCTCTCACAAGAGGACCCCCCTGGAGAGAAGGTCTGGTCCAAGGTTTAAGTGACCCGGAATATGTGTGGCTCTGAGGGACAGAAAATGAACACTGCACCATAGCAACAGATAGTGAGACAGTTTTAACAGGGGAAGAGAGCGTGTCCCTCCCTGCTTGTTTATGTAAGAAACCACGGTTGTGTTGTCCGTCCTGATCAGAACATGATGGCCTGTCAGAACGGGACGAAAGTGCTTCAGAGCTAAAAGGGTAGCTAGTAGCTCCAGGTAATTGATGTGGAGTTTGCATTGTGCTGGCGTCCACACACCTCTCACTGCTGCGCCCTCGCACAGAGCCCCCCAACCCCTTAGGGATGCGTCTGTGGACACCACCTTGCGAAAAGACACCCTCCCTATCGGAGATCCCTGTTGTAGAAAACCGGGTTCTCTCCACGGGAGAAGAGCCGACATGCAAGACTGAGTTATCGTCAGCCTCCTCTGGAGGTGACGCTGCGCGCACAGCCGGTGAGACTGAGTCCAGCGTTGAAACGCTCTCATTTTTAACAGTCCGAGCGGCACTACAGCGATCATAGATGCCATCATGCCTGTCAGCTGTAAAATCGTCCGGAAACACAGTTTGCGTCCCAACTGAAATTGTGCAAGGCAGCGGTGAAACGCAGCCACCCTGCGTTCTGACAGACGTGCTCGGCTTGAAACGGAGCATATTTCCAGCCCGAGAAATGATACCTGTTGACTCGGAGTCAGTGAACTTTTCTGTAAATTTACTGAAAAGCCCAGTGTTTGGATGTGCGATAGGGTCAATGACAGCTGAGCCGCTGCTCGCTCTCTGGAGCTCGCGATTAGCACCCAATCGTCCAGATAGGCTAAGATGCGAACACCTTTCTCCCGTAGCGGAGCTAATGCCGCCTCGACACATTTGGTGAATGTTCGGGGGGCGAGTGATAAGCCGAACGGCAGCACCAGGTATTCGTAGGCTATGCCCTCGAATGCAAACCTTAGAAACTGCCTGTGGTCCGGATGAATTGCTACCTGAAAGTAAGCATCTGTCAGATCGATAGTTGTAAACCAATCTCCCGGTCTGATCGCGCCCAGTAGCTGTCTGAGTGTTAGCATCTTGAACCTGTAGGTTCGTAGGTATTTGTTTAACACTCGCAAGTCTAGGATAGGACGGAGCCCTCCTCCTTTTTTCGGAACAACGAAATAGCGGCTGTACCAACCTTTGTTCGTTTCCGAAGCGGGAACAACTCGTATCGCTCTCTTGTTCAACAAGTTGTTTATTTCTTCCCTCAGCACTGCTGCTGCTTCCTCTGCTACAACTGTGTGTATTACAGAGTGAAAGCGAGGCGGCCGGACCCTGAACTGTAAGCGGCAGTTCTCTCTACCCACGGTGAGACTGCGCATGCGCGCCACCGAGAGAGACGAACAGTCAGTCGACTGACCTCCAGTACTGTGGGGGAGGGGTTGTCGCCCCCTAGCGTGCCGGCTGGGAACGGCAACACTTTCTCGCCCAGACTTGATTGATTCATGATGTTTTGAGAACAAAACGAAACCTTTATTTGATTCAAAGAACATACATTTGTGACATTCACACAGTGAACAACAGGCGCCATTATTGGGGCATGTGTATGTGAGGGGGGGTTGTGCTTGGGAGACTGTGTTAAGGGAGTGCAGCGCCTCTCGGGACCGGACCCCTGAACGAACTTTAAACGCGGCCTCTTTGGCGGCAGAAAAAGAAGGGCGGCAGTGTCTCCGTGCTGCTGGCCCTCTCGAGTCGATCCCGAAGCTAGGATGACTGCTGCTTCTTCTTCCTGGGCGCCGAGTCCCTCCGGAAGCTCGGTGGCGGACCCTTGTTCCAAGCCGAAGGGCGTGGGTTCTGACCGGGTACATGTCGCTTCATTGGCTGGGGCCCTAAGCTGGCGGGCGCTGCAGTCCTCTTAGGGGGAGGCGCTGGTGCCGGTTTGTGCAGATAACCCTGTTGTTTGGGCCTCGCATCACGCCTGGGGATGATGCTTCTCAAAGCTTCGGTTTGTTTTTTCCTCAGCTCAAACTTAGCTTGAATGTCGTCGAGGGACTGCCCAAACAAACCGCTGGCCGACACAGGCTCGTCCAGATAAACCGCTCTGTCCCTCTCCGGAACGTCGGAGAGAGTCAGCCACAGGTGCCTCTGCGCCACCACCGTGGAAGCCATGCCTCTACCGAGAGACAGCGCTGCACAGCGGGACACACGGAGGATGTAATCTGTGGCGACCCTAGCTTCATTGAGGAGAGGAGTAAGCGGACTGTCAGGAGGCATACGCGAGCCGAGTTCTGCCAGACACATAGCTTGATATGTCTGAAGCATAGTGACGGAGCTCAGTGCACGAGCCGTATTTGCCTGTGTCCTGTAAATTTTATCCAGCTGTGACGCTGAAAATCTACAGTGCTTGGATGGGAGCGTGATGGGGCCACCGACACCGTGATTCTGGGCCGGGGCCAGATAAGCTGCCAGGGACGCCTCCATAGGCGGAGGGTTCACCAATCCAGCTTTTTCAGCTCCATTTAGATCCAGAAACTGTCCACAACCGGGCACTGTGGCGCGGGTGGACAGCGGCTTGTTCCATGTCGAGGTTAGTTCCGCGACAAAATCCGGGAACATGGGCAAACTGTTCTTAACAGTCGTCGGTTCGGGTGGGAGAAAAAACCCTGTGAACCGCGACGGTTTTTGAGCTGGTGGAGGAGAGGGCCATTCTACCTCCAGTTTCTCAGCTGCACGGCGGTACAGTGAGAGGAAGGATGTGTCGTCCAGATCAACCGGCGCAGCAGCGGCGGCATACTGACCTGAAGACAACGGCTCCAGCTCATCTTCCGAAAAACCCTGCACGTCCAGGCCGATGTCCAGCACGTCATCGTCCTCCTGGTAACAAGCTAGCCCGGATAGCAGCTGGCCAGCGCCCTCGGAGGGGCCCGGCTCAAACCCAGCTGACCCGTCAGCACACTCCACATGGTCTGCCCAGCTTCCAACTGAGCCTTCGACCAGAAAGTCCTCACCACCGGACTCGGACGAAGCCGGGTCTCTGGACTCGGAAAGGAGGGGGTCGTGCAGCGCAACAGCGGTTTTTCCAAGAATTTTCTCCACAAACTTGACCCGCCTTCCCAGGGTTGAGCTCCGAAGCCGGTGACAGGACTCACACGACTCGGGCTCAGTCAACGCCCTCCTGGCGTGGACAATCCCCAGGCAAACGGGACAAGCCTCGTGAAGATCCTTCTCGTGAAGGGAGAAGCCGCACCCCTGAGGACAGGGGCGAACAGAAGACTTCGCCTTCACCTTCATGGGCTTAGAGCTCATAACGAGACTCAAAAGCTGAACGAAATTAGCGCTCCGCGGGTTGCCGTAGGCTAACACCAACAGGGGCAGTTGAGCTAAAGTCGATCAAGCAGTAGCCAGAGACAAGACCAGGCTAATTTAGCAGCAGCTAGTTAGCCCGACTCGGTGTAGGTGTTCTCAGCGAGGTGAAGAGCGTAAGAACTGAAGGATGACTGTGGTGTTACACGTATATATGTGCAGGCGGAGCCTCCCAGACGTCACCACAGATCATCTGCCTTAAAGGCGTGAATAAAGGTGTCTTCAGTCAGGTCACGCAGGGGCGTGATATCCCATACTATATGTGTTGTACCGAGTGAATCGACTGAAAGGGAACGGTACTGGCAGCTGGTTAGAAGTTGTGGCCTTTTGAAAAAAGTCCCAGCATGGAAAGGTTTAGATTTAGATGCGGCAGTACTCTGTGTGTAATAGTTTGGGCCTGCTTACAGCACCAGTTTCAACATGAAAACAGAAATCTCTTATCATTATGCATCTTGGAAAACAGGTGTTCTTATTCTTTACTTTATTATCATAAAAAAAATGCAGACTGAAATGTTTCAAAGCGTCCACATTTGTCATGAAGACCTGATGAGTTGAAATTTAAACAATCTGTTTTCCACATATTGACAAACGGGCTGAACTCGGATGCTCATTAGGCAGTAGTGGAAGTTCAGCCCGGTGTTTCTAGCTTGTGAGATTTTTTTTTGGTTCTCCATTTGTGTTTTGGACCTCTGTTACCTACTGGTACATTGCCATAGCAACCTCTAGTTAGGCAAGAAAAACAGTACAGTGTTTTGATAAGACTTAGCCCCAATTAAGCCAGCCCACACAAATTTGGAAGGCCAGAGAGGAAACTGCACAAACGTTTTTCCCACCGGGCTCTTTCTTTCACAAATGTTATTCTGCATATTTGTCTGAAATTGAACTTTAACAAAGTAAAGCTTTTCATGATTAACTGTGAGAGTAGATGAAGGTAAAATCTTCATACTTACCTAGAGCAATGAAGGGTGTGTGTGTGTGATTTCTGGGCCTTTTGTCCTTTAGGGTCTACAATTACAGAGAACAAAAACCTCAAACACAGACTCGTATTCCACCAAACACTTTATTAAAATCCCACATGAAGCTCCCCTTTTAATCACACCCACACAGTCACATAACATGCTGTTTTATTTATTGAAGGCATTAAACATAAACAGGAAATTTCCCAAATTAAATATGACCAGGTGTGCTTTCGTCCTAGTCTTGTGTCAAGTGTCTGTCAGCCAATCATGAGCCCCATAGGGGGGAGGTACAGCAGTCAGTGTGTCATACATCATTAAACAGGGCCCTGTTGGAGAGCTGTGGATACAGCAATATAAAGAGCAGTCTTGTTATAATTGGGTAAATAATGACATGTCCGGGGGGCAGTTTGAGGGAGCTTGAGACCTGCCGGTAGGAAATAAATAAATGTTTTTAGCTGCTGGTCCATTGTTAATAATGGATTTTTTAGGGTGCCGGTGAGCAGAGACATCACTATTTACGTGCTAAATTTGATTCAGTCTGTTCAGTTTGTTTTGTGGAATTATAAGGAGGGCTGGTGTAACAAGCTTGTAAACTTTATGACTTTTCAAATTAACAAGTCTGCAGAAAAAGAAATACTGACCTGACTGATAATCTTAAAGAGGTTTAAAAAAAGTTGATCAACCAATCAATTGAGGTTTTTGGTACCAAATCATAAAATAAGCTATATTAGTTATTATTTATGGAGACTTAGGACCAGCATTTGGTAATACTTGGTTACATGATGACGGGAAAAACTCCCATTTAACAGGCAGAAACCACAAGCACAACCTGACTAATGTACCACAGCCATAAAAAGACAGTCCATGGAAGGAAAGGGCTGAAAAAAGGTGAACCAGGACAGCTCTGGCAACAGCGAATAGAGCAGATAATGCAGGCTTTAAAAAGGGGGGAATATTGTGCATTAACAATCAGTGACAACAGGTTATTTCGCAAACGGTCTCTTCAAATAGTTTAAGGCTTGAATCATGGAGAGGGAGATTATCTAACTACACAAAGAAAGAAAAATCAGTTAAGTCACTGGAAATGCTGCTGTTTGAGAGGAGATCTTTGCAGGAGAAGCTGAGAGTCAAAGCGCTTGGACCCGTTCCAATTGACATCAAAATCAATCTATGTTTATTGCTTTTTTTTTTTTTTTTTGGGGGGGGGGGGGGGGGGCAAAAATATGGAAAAAATAAGCCTATTTGACCCTAAAGACTTTTTTGCCATAACAAATCACTTACCACATGTTGTCCTACTTATTACATGACTACTTACTTAATCATCACATACTGATTCAGACACATAGACTGTATATAAATGGACACCGTCTACCTCCTCACTAGGTGAATCCACAGCAAGAACAGCACCCTCTGGTGATGGGCTGCAGTTTAGGTCATAAATACCGCCTCTTCCAGCAATCCCTATGGAGCTGTGGACAAACAAGAAATTTATTACACAGAATATGATTTTTTTCTCCCCCCTGCTTGTGATGTTGACATGTAGTTACAGTAAGACTGGTTTGTGCTCAAGTCCTATTTTTCTGTGCTGCTCCATTTTTAAAAGTTAGGGGTTCATGTTTTCTATGATTGACACCTTATACAGCCTATGAGGGTGCGAAGATTGCGTAGCTCACCTGGGAGATACGCTGTTTGAGTCGAGCGTTATCACAGCGATTCTTGGTGACTCTCACGCCGAATGCAAGCATCGTACTGCGCAGGTGATGGAGTATGTACAACGCTACTGCGCAATGTTGGTTTCAGGAAGTGGAGAAAAATTGTGGAAATACCGAGAGCTTTTCAGCTTCAAATTTGTATACAAACGGAAGGTGGAACCCAGTTGTCCATAGTATATACAGTCTATGATGCAGATATGGTTTTATTACCTAATACATATTATGTTCCTGCAGTTGAAAACAGCCCATACTTGTAGATTCACCTGTGTTGACAGTTAGCTCTGTAGCCTCATTGAACTGAGCAAGCTTGGTTATAATTGCTCACAAACTGATTGATTGAAATAAAACAAGGTGAACAGGATCCCCATGGATCAGCAGCCCACCTGATTGATTTTCCTGCTTGTCACTGTCAGGATCTGCAATCAAAACCGCCCTTTCTCCAAATCCCGTATTGTGTCCTCACTTACTCCTGCCCCCTTTATAGACCTGTCTGTCATATTTTAGGCGAGTTTTGCCAGTTTTGCTTTCCACAGTGACAATTTCTGTTTCATGTAGACAACCAAAGCTGCTGGTTAATACAAACTCAAACCAGAAGGCGTCAGACACCAAAAATCCCTCGCCCACAGATTTTGCATTCATTAAACATATCTGGTTAGAGAGATAAGGGAAAAGCTTTTTGGTATTTTAAGAATTAAAATAATTGGTTGCTAATTGGTTCAACACGTGTTGAATATGGTGTTTGTACAGATGTAGAGTCTTTGGTATTAATTCATGAAATACATTCATGGGTCTTTGTCACTTCAGAAGGTTACGTCTGCAAGATTTAAGAGTATTTGTTCAAGATTTATCATCCATGCAGCAGCAAATCACCAAAGACACAAAATCACTCACGTAATGGCTGTAGGAGCGCCACTAAATTAAAACCAAGGAATTCAATCACATTTAAGCACATTTCATCCTAAAAACAATACACCAGATATGAAACACATGTTGCTTTTATGAACTGCACTGCATGTCTGTTTCAGCTTTTCCAAAATATCTGTTCCCCTCTGTCTCCAGGATTCAGTTCAACACTTGCTCCACAGACAGCTGGTCCACACTGTCTAATTCATGTGCTTTGTTGCCCCTTCGCAGCGAGTATCACATCTTCTGCAGGTTTAAAAAACATCAGGAAATATAAAAAATAGTCTCTAATTGCTCGGCATGGGTGATTAGTGGAGTGCCGCGGTGTCTTTAGGCCAGTTGGTTTTGCTTTTCAGAAACTAACACATTTAAAAGAGCTCTCATTAAAATGAAAGAGAAGAGCAGCTAAATGCATCTTTAAAGATCAAAAGGCAGCATCATTAAACTGCAGGCGTCAAACCTGAAGACCTGTGCACAGACGGAGCTCAGTAACTATCATAAATTTGACTTTATCTCCACAGACTTACAGATAATCTCCATTTTACACCTTTAATTATTCCCCGTCCCTTTTCACTTCTTATTTTCTGTTTCTTTCTTTTCACTCATGAAAGAGAAGAGTTAGGGATCCCCTGTTATTTAAGAATTCATTCACAATGTTAGTTAGGGATGATTGTCCTTGCATAAGAGAATGAATAAAACACGGATGAAATGACAGCTCCCAAAAAGTAGGAGTGTCCCGATCAGATATTGATATCAGCAAAAAAACTAATATCAGCTAATATCAGCCTGCATCTAAAATCTCTGATATCAGCACTCCAATACAAGCAATCCATTCCAGTCTCCGCTCCAGCACCTCTATCTAGCAGCCCCCAGATCCAACATGCAGGGCCCACAAAATCACAACAACAGTGTGTACTAAGGTACTAACAAAGTAGCAAGGAGTAGAAGTGATGTCTGTCATGTGGCAACATTTTTTGTTATAGTCCGAAAAAGACGTTGCAGCTGAGTACAAAACTTGTCATGCACAATTTTGTGCTAATATCGGATCAATATCGGTGTCAGCCAATACTGCCAATACAATATTGGTATGATGAAGTAAAAAAGTTGTATTGGGACACCCCTACCAAAAAGTCAAGTTAAACAGTTAAATAAAGCAATATTATCCATATTAATTAGACCAGATTAATGTGCCTTCTGCAAAGAGGACCAGAGGCCGGTGGTGCTAGCTCTGCTACTGTTAGGCTCACTGGTCAGATTAGTTTGGCTCTGGTGACCTCTTTTATCTGGACATGTCCTCTTTTGGGGAGGCTGACTGGCCTGTCCGGGGGAGTTTATAAAATTCTTTAAATATCTGGGGTTTTGTATGGAAGCCCGTTTCCACCAGTAAAAAAAAAACAAAAAAAAGGATAAAATGTCATCTTTTTAAAAATATATATTTTTAAAAAGGATAAAAAAACAAAAACAAAGTGTGTATTCATTCATTATAAAACCCTCAAAATTTTGCGTGCACACAGCTCCGCCCCGTGTAGTAGTATCCTTTTTTTGAGGATTCAGTATACGGTCACCGTAAGTTCGGCATCGTTTACAGACTCTGATTACCTGTTTAGTTTTGTTGAATAGATTGTGTTTTATTTAGACTGTCCTCTGAGTGTTTTCTTACCTGAAGACTCGCCAGCTGGTCAGGATTGACAGCACCAACACAAAATGTCAGGAGGAAGAGAGCTGTTGTCCATCTTAATATATATAGTCAGCACAGCTTTAGCACAACACTGCTCAGGATGAAGCACATACAGTCACACATTCACTATCAGAGAAAGAAAAGAAACATTTCTAAAGGCTTTGACACTGAACATGTCTTACTCTTTGTAATAGGAAGTAGACAAATGGATTGTGTTCTGTGTTACCTTGAGATTTCTGAAGCAAGAGCCATTACAGCATCAGAAAAAAGGTTTTCTATGGAAGACAGAGCAGCAGTGTTGGATGGTGAGTCCAATCTGATCAGACCTCAATCACCCGAATGTTCTTATACATTCCTTTATGTCAAGAGGAGACCAATCCTCTATTGATCTGCTGCAATCCATGTGTCACAGTGCATGACGAAAGGTGGAGCAAACCTTTCAATTATTTCACCAGAGTCCAAGTCCTTCTCCCGCACACTTAGAGTTTGTGCCTTTTTTCTCTCTGATTATTAAACACATGTCTTTGCACATGTAAAAGGACTTTGAGTTTTGAGTGCTCTTCTCAGCTGTCTCCTGATCTCTACCTGTTTTGGTGGGAAATTTAGTTGAAAATGAGGTTTTGAATATGTCACACCAACGCACGTAATTTAATCCTATCTCATGGCAAAGTGCACGTAAGAGCTGGAATATTGCACTCAAATGTTTGCAATAATTCTCACTCCATTCAGGTGCTGTTTTGCAAAAAAAAGTAGCAGCAGCAGTAACTGTTAATGTCATTCCAGATCACAATGACTCTGCTAGAATTGAACATGAGCAACATGAACCTGTCAAAACTCATCCAACAAGAGAATCGGAGGAAAAGTTCTGGACACGACAGCCTGATTGCAGAAGTGTCCGAGTTAAGACTGGGAGAAACCTTTAATGAATTGCACCTGCCAGGATTGATCAATCTTAGATTTGTGTCCGAAGTATTGGTTAATAACAACATTTTGAGATAAATGGTTATTTATACTGACAGTTTTCTTTGTCCAATAACAAATATTTCGGATCGGATTAAAGTTAAATCAGATGGAGCTATGCTGGGACTATACGAAGTCAACATTAATAGTACCTGTTAAGGTAAAGTTGTTCACCAAAGCATGGCAATAAACTGAAATAAAAAGGTCTCTAGTCCTGTCTTTTGCAAAATTAGAGCTATGGTAAAGCCGTTAGCTTGCAAGCTACAGCTTTGCCAGTCACAGGTGTTTCTCAGATTAAAAGTTATTGTTAATTTCCATCAGGACGGTAGTTCTCATCTTGGGAGTGTCCCCTAACTTTGTGAGACTAAAAGTTTTGTAATATGACGGCATACTGTTAAGATGTGAGAGGGTGTTACATATCAGTCTTTTACAGTGTATGAAAGTAGTTCAAAGTCCTCTGGTGAAAGCTGATTTTGTCCTGCACTTATGTTTGAAGGGTCCCACCTAAAATGCCTGCTGCGAATCTCCATCATGAAAAATGTATAAAAGGCTGTTGTGATTTTTTTTCCTATGTGCTGTGACATCAACCCAGCAGCAGCAGCAGCAGCACAGGCAATACTGTGAACTATATGAAAATACTCAGTCCTCTTGCTTGCAAAGGACATGAAGCTGTATAACTTATTAATTTTCTACCTTTGGCTTCTGAAACATCGTGAAGGATGTAAATGAGTATTTTGGTAATGCCAAAAAAACATCAGTGCATGACAAAGCTTGTTTGGGTGTTTGTCTTTTTAGCTGCATCCACAACATTTTCACTGGAAGAAGCAAGACCAGACAGAGAAAGACAGAGAGGTTATCTTCCTCTCTTAGTCTCCAATCTGAAAGCCCCCTCACTCACTAACAATCTCCAGTTACAGACCCTGATTGGAGGTTAGACCTGCTCTGTTCATGCAGAGCAATATGCCCAGTTTCTATTTACCTTAATGACAAGATGTTGCATTTCTCTTTCACACATATCCACCTTTACACCCACATGTGCACACATATAGCTCAGGAGGTAGAGTGGTCGTCCAATGACCGGAAGGTTGGCGGTTCGATTCCCCCCTAATCCAAGTCTGTCCGTTGTGTCCTTGGGCAAGACACTTAACCCACCTTGCTCCCAGTGTGTGTCCTCCACTGGTGTATGATTGTGAGTGTTGTGTGGTGGTGGTCGGAGAGGCCGTAGGCGCAGAATGGCAGCCACGTC